GGACATGCGGTAGACACTTTACCCATCTGGTTACTTCCATTTATCCTTTGGCTACAAGTGCTTAACTCTGCCATGAATCCTGTTCTCTATGCGATCTTCAACGAATCTTTCAGACTTGGCTTCAAGAAAGTTATATTTCGTAGTATTTTACGGAGACACAACGAGCAAGTCATTCAAAGTGCCAGGAATCCAATTCAAAACATTGCACTTGTAAGATTCCAAAACAGCACAGGCCTGCAGAGATAAATTTGTTTCTACATCAGTAACAGATACAGCCACTGTGTTAAGAATATACCTTATTGGTACCTAATTTCTCGATTTTGGCGAGAGAGTATTTTGCGGGGTCTATTTTCGCGATGTCAATATGAGAAAAAGGCATAAAATTTAGCGATTTAAGCATTCTAAACTGGAAAAGCAACATGTGAAAGTTTTACACATTAACGATATTTTACTTACTAAAGATACAAAACGGAACTTACCAGTATGACCAGCTATCAAGTTATGTTATCGATACATATCCTGTTTATGTTATTGTTATTTCAAGTTAATATTTTTTTCTGTGATTTGAATTTTCTAAATGAGTATTCAACAGGATCCTTCAGGATTGTGCTTTCTTTTGCAAATTAGGGCTTTTGTTAATTTTAAACCTCACTGGGGCTGCCAAATTTAAATATGAAAAGAAAAACTAAGAATTCTGGTCGTAGTAGTAAAATGCCGGCATCGTGCAAATGGCCTATTTCGCGTGCTTAAATTTCGCGAGGAATTATTTTCGCGATTTTTTTGCAATCGCTAAAAACGCGAAATTAAACACCGGCGAAATTAGGTACCAATAAGGTGCAAGTACTTTGAGTTCAAGGCCCGGCGCCCGATTTTTAGGCCCCAGGCCTCGAACCGTGTCGTGCCTTGTTTTGTATTCAAGGCCGAGGTGTAAACAGTGAACGTTAAGCCATCGAGTTGCGAATACCGGCAGCTCTTGTAGTTCTGGATCGAGTGCCGCTATTCTGGCAAATTTGTATTGTTCACACTGAAGTATTGAGTTATTTCACGTTTTTGAAATTGGTTTGTATAGGTGAAACTAAGCGACGCCTCAAGGACAGATTTAACGAACGCAGACGTGCAGTCGACAAAAATAACACTAAATCTAAATCCACTACTGTTTCTGAACACTTTCTCTCTCACTCTAACCATTCTCATACTGACATGAAATTAATCCCACTACAGAAAATTCATTCTTCACGTGACTCAGTTCGTAAGGCTAGGGAGTCGCATTTGATAGATAAGGCCATGACTCTTGAACCTCATGGCCTAAACCGCCATGACGAATTATTGTTATTTTTTCTTTTCCAATTTTTTTTGGTGTTGTACGTCATTTCTGCCTCTCCCTTTTAAAAACAATAGGGAGCTTTAGCGCAGACGACGGCAACTGCAGCGAAAACGTCAGTTTCAAAATGAATTCCCGTTTTTTCAATCTTTGTCGCGTTTATTCCAATTTGCTGAAAATGGCAGGTATAGGCGAATTTCCCTGGAGTTGATTTCTTGAGGACCGCACTCAAGTTTAGAGAGGGAAAAAGAGATTCGTCGTCGCTTGTTTACGTCCTCCACAGAACTTGCAATTAGGCATTTCCACGTGTTTCACGTCGTAGTCGTGCAAGGACGGTGAAGAAATGTACAAAAAAGCGTGATGCACGTGCAAAGTTGTTGTTTTGCGTAATAAACCTATTGTTTTTTTGACGTCCTGTTTGCCGTCGCCGTCGTCGTTGCTAAGGCTCCCTAGTTTTTAAAGCGACATTCTCCATCTAGCCTATATAATATTGTGATTCCTATCATAAATTCAGGAACATCTGTAAACCTGAAGAAGGCAGGTGTTGCCAGCCGAAATATTGTTAAGAAAAAACAATACACGTTGGTCTGATCAGCTTTGCAGTAGTCTTTGGACTTCTAGTTTTTGTCAACGGAAGAATTTTGCTGTTTTTTTCTGCATAGAGCTGCGGAACGGATTTATAGATCGTCTATGTATTACGTAGGGATGGTCTGAAAATAACACGCAGCAGTTCGCAAAACCATATGACAGACTACCACACTGCGCTCGAAGTTATCCTGAAACGAGGAACCGTCGTTATATTCCGCGGCTGCTGGACAAGCTGTATCACCTTATTAGTTGCATGATGGTGTCGCTATAGGACACAAAGGGTGTGTGCATTTGGGATGCATTTGCCCAATCCCTAGACCTCATATTATTCCACGCGGCCTACGAGTTTTGGGTCACGTGGTCCGAGCTACAGTTTGTGAGCCCCCAACCCCCCACCCCCCCCAACCTCTCGTCACGGATACGTCCGTCCGAAATGCATTGACCGAGAAGTCCTGGGAAGACGCTGGACAGCCATGCTCGTTTTTTTAAAAGCGAGCTTACAAAGATGAACAGTCATTTCATTGGCCTCAAGACGCCAAGGTGCATAAAAGCCTTAACAAGCGATCTCAGCACTTTCAAACATGAGAAAGGAAAAAGGTCAGGTAAGGGCACAATAAGGCGGAGTTTATCTTTGACGGACAGAAGAAAGACGAAAACATTTTCTGTTTGAGCTTGTTATCGACCTACCACGTTCCCAGGGTTCTCTCCTGGAGAGAACGCCGGAAATGAGGTTGCTTATTGACCATTACACTTCTTGAAACGGATCATTCTATCGAGTGATATTTATTTTAAGATCACCTGACTGCATCGTCATGGCTAATATTCGGTTCTCTTAGCCTTACTTATAATGTCATAATTTTTAGGCACCCTCGTTTCCTCCTTCCTCTTTCTTCCTCCCTCGAGTGTGAGAGCGAGAGCCGAGAACCCTTAGAATGAGGTCACATTGCTCGTTCAAGTCCTGCTTCGACTACCAGCTGGATTTAGTTTGAGTTCGTCCCGAGTTTGACACCTGCACCGCTCCACCACGACAACTGGTTAACTCGAGCTCCTACAGTGCCGGTATAATCGGACGAGGTTATTTTCGGACTTTAACGGTATATCACCCCACTGGCGGGTTATGTAACGAGAACAAATCATAACGACGGGTAACGTTTTATCTCGGAAACATGCATACATTTAAAAAACTCGTGCCTAAGACGGAAATTGAAAACTGTCTCCTGGCGAAATCAGGAACCGTTGGAGTTTTTTGAGCTGTTCATGGTTCAATTAACCGATTGTAATTTTATTTTTTATTGGTGAAACTAAGCGACGTCTCAAGGACAGATTTAACAAACACAGACGTTCAGTCGACAAAATAACATTAAATCTAAAGTAATTTCAAACCTAAATTTCTCACTCTAACCATACATCATTTGACAAACAATTAATCCCAAGAAAATTCATTCTTCACGAAAGTTTGTAAGGCCAGGAAATTTTCAAAATTTTGCACCTAATTTTGAACCTCATGGCCTAAACCGCCGTGACGAATTATTGTAATCCATATCCTTAGTATTTTTCCTTTCCAGTTGGTATGTTGTACGTCATTCCGCCTCTCCCTTTTATTGCGACATTCTCCATTTATAAAATATTGTGATTGCTACATAAGTTCAGTAACATCTGTATACCTGAAGAAGGCTGGTATGGCCAGCCGAAATATTGTTATAAAAAACAATATAATATACGTTGTTTTAAATCAGCTTTGCAGTAGTCTTTGGACTTCTTGTTCTTGGTTCTTTATATTTTGGCTGATTTGATCTCTTTTCTAGAAATCCAACGTTTACAACTAGCAGGATCTTCGTCCACGGTTTTTGCAGCTAATTTAATCCGTTTTTAGTGTCGCGAAAAATTTATATTATCGATGGTACTCATGTTGGGGACAATCTTGATTTGCGTTTTTGATCCCGATAAGAAGTTAGATTCAAAGCTCGGACCAAATTAACACCTCCACCTGACTGCATGACATATATGCGCTCCTAAATCTATTTTATGGAGGTGTTGATCCATTCAACTGAGTTTTTCCCATTATTCAGACAAAAGAAACAAATCCTTTTTTTAAAATTAAAATTTAGCTAAAATTTTGAGAATAATTTTACACAGAATTTAAAAACCAAGGTGCTTGATATAGTCAAAATTTGCAGAAATTAATGCTTCATTTATTATGCATAAATTGTTCAATATCGACTTGAGTGGTTTCTTTGTAAAAATGTGACAACGTATCATTTTGCCTTGCAGTTCTATTGTTAATTACAAGAAAATATTAAATGCATGTCGCGAAAAGAATAGTCTCTGTTGGCGATGGCAGGATACTCTTTTGGAGGCACATGAAAAATCACGAGGATTAGTGACAACTTAAACAATACGAAGTATCAAAAGTAGGTCGAGTTTGAAGTATAAAACTACTTATCAATTTTCTCAAACAGCTGCAGATTTTTGTTTACACAGTCCTCGAAAAAAGAAAAAAAACGCAGTCGAATATCCGTTGAAGAAAATCATTTCATACCAAGTTCAATTTCAGTTTCGTTTTCACAAGTTTTCAGTTTTCTTTCAGATAATTGTGAAATAAATAATTTAACGGCTGTTCAAACACCAAGAAATAGAAAATGATGTAGCTTACCAATTTGGACATATTCGACGTCATTTCCGGGTATCAGACCATAGTGACCGAAACAATGCAGTTTGACGTCACTAAGTCGTAACCAAAAACAAAATTCACCCTTTGCACCTGCTAAAGCGGGATTTGGGACAAATTATTTGGAACAAATTTCGGTGATTTTGTAGATAGGTGAAACTTCAATAAAATTTTTATATAGTTGCACTTTACAGGAAGCCACTTTTCGATTCGGCTGATCACAAAATCGAAAATGCAACCGCTAGATAAAAATCGTAATGTACGCTTCGCTAAACAGGTGCTATTTACGGTCATTTTGAATTTTAATTAGTCTCGCGTTTGCATATATTGCGATTAGCGATCGAGCGTTGCTTATTTTACCCGGATCTTAGCAGGATGCGTAGTGCAGCCATTTTTCTGACACTGTAAGTGCTGGATTCAACCATGGCTAATCGTTTTCGACAATTTCGTCTGCTCTTATGGAAAAACTTTATATTACAGGTAAGCTTACGTTTAAACCTCCTTGTACTACTTTAGCTGCAAACTTGGACTAACAACCGATCGATTTTTGTTTCGTGTATTAACTTTGTGCTGACTAATTCTCTTCGTTCTATTGAAGATCCGCCGTCCGATCGGAACTGTTTTCGAACTCCTGTTGCCTGTGCTTCTGGTCGCAGTATTAATTCTGCCAAAGTAAGCTGTATTACTGTAACTTCGCCGTTAAGGACAATATGCATACTAATATTACGTAATGTTTTCAGCATGAAGAAATATTTATTAATTTATATAGTCTCTCTAAAAGTAAACAAAGTTAGTTCATTCATCTTTTGGTAAAAGTAAAAGTAAAAGCGCTTGGCAAATTATTAGAGAACGCACGGATTACCCGAAGCAACCCGTGCAATTCAATTCCCGTTATTTCAGGTTTAATATTTGTGTGGTTTATGCTGAAAAGTGCTTGTTGAATTGCGTTAACTCTAAACAACAGACCAATATCGACATTTTCCTCTGCTAAAGTGTGCAGTTCTACATGTTCATCTTACAGTCACCTCCAAGATGGTCCTTCTGTCATTTTCATCATTAAATAACGAAAACACGGCCAGTATTTTTGTAGTCTGAATAAACTGTGTAGACTTTGAACAGTAGATCAATATCCAACTGAGTTGATATTTGCAGTTTGTATCTTGAGTCCACTAAGATGATATTTACGCCACTTACATTAAGCTTTTAAATAAGCATAAAATTGAACATAGTTTCACCACCAGAAACTCCCGAGACCTTGATTCCTATATAAACAATGCTAGAAGATAAGAAGGCAACGAACATTACGTATCCTATCGCCAGTACCTACATTAAATTTGGACATATAACCAAATGCTGATGTGCTATTACAAATTATGAGGTAGTAAATAAATAAACACCAGGGCCAAGTTGTTTGAAGGCCAATGTTGTAATTTTAATCCAGGTTTTTGTTTGAGTCTTAAGATTTCAGCAGTTCTTGGTCGACAGGGGTATTTTGCAGAATGCTCACGCCAAATACAGAACACCGAATGACTCTGAGTTCAGTGATTGGGGTTAGGAAACTGGGTGAATCACGGTCCACTTTGGGTCATTTAACTTGGAAAACAGACCTGAAACTTAAGGTGACTTGACCCAGTTTTTTTGGGGGGAGGTACCATCCTACTTTGAAGCTCTCTGGTATCCCTACCTTTACTTTTATCGTACCGGTAAGTCTAACACACAGAATGGATAACATATAGATCAATCTACAATATGACATAAAATTTTTGGCGATTGGAGTAGATGTCACGTGGTTATAATGTCACGTTTAAGAGTCCTTCTTACGAAAAAAAGCATTTTCTTAAAAATTCGTAGTTTTTTTTCCTTCAAATTTTTTCAGGGCCACAATTGATTAACTAACTACCCGGATTCTGAATTTCATGGTCATTGAAAAACTGTGACATTATCTTCTATAAGCCCAAACTTGAGTAAACATTGAAGATTTTTAGTGTTTTGGCTGAGTTTGTGCTTTGGAAGTTGTCTATTGTTTCTAGTCTGTCATTATACAGCATTCTTGTACAGCATATGTGCAATGACCATGCTTGGCTGACTTCCGAATGCTCACCGAGACATTTACAAGGCCCTAAAGCTTTTTGCTGACTTGCAAGGACCCATCTGTTATAACGATCCCCAAAATAAAGGGATAAGTCGCATAGTTTATTAGATATAATCGTGTAAAGTTTGCTTATCATTTTTGCATAAATTATGACCTAAATTTGGAAACCGCTGAATTTCTCGAATTGAGTCTTTGCGATTTTGGTGAAACTCTGTTCAGCGCAAGGCACTAATGCGCACTATGTGTAGCCGAGAGATTTTCACGAAAAAATGCCGGCAACAGCAGATTTTCGACTCAGACCTCAAAGGGGCATGGCATTATAACCATGTGACATTTACTCCGATCGCCAAAAATTTTATGTTATATTGTAGATTGATCCTAACGATGAAACTTCAGAGTCATTCAGTGTTCTGCAGTTCAAGGAACACCAAATGCAGGATGCTGAATGACTCTGAAGTTTAGTGATTAGGGTTAGGAAACTGAGTGAAACAGGTTTCATTTAGGGTCATTTGTTAATCTACTGGGAAAACTGACCTGACACTTGATTCACTCAGTTTCCAAACCCTAATCACCAAACTTCAGAGCCATTCTAAGATTTATAAACTGTCATTAAATCTTTCACTTACGCATTTAAGGGCTCAAATTTCCTGTTATGAATTAAAAGAAAAATTGAGTCCTGTAATGCTTAAGGAAATATTTTATGACAGTTTTAAAAATTTCGAAATTACAAGGGTCTGTATGGAAAACCATGCAAGCACGACTGGATGTCAAAAGTTGTTTTTCTTATACAAATGGTTCTAACTTTCGGCAGCCATTGCAATCACTAGTTTTGAGATATACGGCTGAAAATTCTCAGGTTACCTAATTTTGACATGCTCTTTAAACTTGTGCTAACAAAATTCAACTGTTTTCGTGCTTTCCGAATGTTGATCACATGATCAAGTCATGCAAAGAGCCTATTCTGGAATTTGATTGGTTCTATTTTCCTTGAAACCTGTCAAAGTTTAAAAAGGATGTTTTTAGAAAAAAATATCACATTCCTGTCAAAAACTTAACTGATAAGTGCTAGTGAAGGCAGGATCGTCAGTGTGTAATGCCAATATCTATAGCCTGTGTACATGTAGCTGGAAGGGGGCAAGGGAATAAGGCAGCTTTATTAACGTCTTAATTTTACTTTGCGTTATTTTCCTCACTTATACATTGTCCGTGACTGTGCTCACATGGTGGGTGGCTCCTCCTAAAATGTTCTGTTTAGGCATCCTACTGATGAACAGTTGCGACACGTAGATATATATTTTTTAGCAACTAAGATAATTTGCAGTCTGTCTACTTTGAATTGCACATTTTCTCATTTGAGCTGTCTCTCAAACACACAGAGAAACACTCCAAAAAATGTCAGCTACACAGCCTGGCTACAATATCTACAGGGCTTCTATGATATCGTAGCCTGAGAAAACAGCCAAATTAATAATTTATTGTAACAGGCAAGTTTCATCGCGTTAACTTTCGTAATCATCACGCTGACGATGACGGATGTACTGTCGAAACATGTTTGTTAAAATTTAAAAAGTCACATTATTTTTGAAAATGTACATTGATTTCATCTTCTGGTCGTTTGAAAAGGCAGTATATTTTAATAGGGTGTTTAAAAACACCCTGTTTCACTAGCAGATTTTTAACTGAGTGAAACTGTCTTTTTGGTTCTGGTTTATTTTTCCAGTTCCAAGAACAAAATTAGTTAGAATACTAAAATAAACGTCCCTTCCCGAACTCAACTCCAATCGATCATGTGCATTAAAAAACTACATTTGAAACTCTTTTTGTTTGCTGTCATTTACAGGCAACTTATAGATACAAAAGACTTTTGCTTCAGTAAGTAAAACTGTTTATTTACTTTCAATAACAAGACATTGATTGAAATAGTTGGCTTCCAGGTATTGAAATATTATGGAAAGCAGTGAAAATTCCAGTGACAATTCCGGTTGGAATTGCAGATGTCAATGTGCCACATGCCACATTAGCAAAAGGATTTAAGCTTATCTAAGCTACCATGCAAAAACCTGATGCACATGTACCTTCAAAACCATCACGGTTTTCCGGGATGTCATACGTTTGTTTGTGCGTGTGTGTCCTTCTTTTCGTTTTCATCGTCTTACTCCTGAAAGGCGACCACAGTTAGAACTTTAGCTAGTCCACCATTGTTTATTACAGCTGAGAAGCCTGGCCTCTTTTTGTGGTAGGCACTATACGGTGGCCTTACATAAAGTAATTGCTTAACAAACCTGATCTCTCGGCTTCTTGTAGGTTATGTTTGAAATCCCAGTATTCAGGACACGTGATGATCTCGAGGGAATTTGTCTTTTGTCTTTCCTTTAATTTTATGCACCACATATGCATGAGGTCATTTGAAAGAAACAGTGCTCTGGGGGTAGCATCACATGTTCTGTAAAGTTATGGGTAAACAAAACATACAGTACCCAAACATACAAGCTAAAAGATCTGTGGCCCATGCTTTATTATGGAGGACATTCCACCTCAAACATAACACATAGTAAAGTCAACATGAGTTCTGTACAGTGGAAGGAGACAGTTTTATAGTTGTGATGTAGACTCGTGTTGAGCAACTTTATGCCTGTAGTTTGGGGAATTCCCTACAAAAAATATATTCTGAATATGCAGGTGGCAACAGGAAATGGCTATGAGGCTTAATGGTAAAAATTACCATCAATTTTCAACATGAAATATCTCTCAGTGTAGCTAGACGTATGTATTTGTATGCAGTCAGGCTAGAGGTGATGGTAACGATGATTTGTTTAACCCTTTAAGCACCAATATCCACATACAAATTCTCCAAACTGATCTCTATACATTTCCTTAAAGAATGAGTTGAGAGAATTTGATAATAGACCAAGGCATTTTCTCTTGTGTGATCATTTTATTAATTCTCATAACTTATCTCTTGACAGTGTACGGATATTGTTTGGAGAAATTTGATCTTGGTCACTATTGGGACTTAAAGAGTTAATATGTGATGTTTTATCTAACCAGGTACTTTTGAACCAACGGAAACCAGAGACCTAAAGGCGGGTTTGCTTAAAAGTTTACTTGATGAAGCCAAAAAGGATATAAGCGAACAGCCAGGGTTCAATGTAAGAAACGCCAATATCTCCAAGCTAAATGCAGATGCTATGAAAAGTATTGAAAACAAGACGTATCTTGCCTACTACCCTACATCTCCCTTAGGTAAGAATAGTATTACTTAGATGCTTGAACTAATGAGTTTTATTGGTCTGCCACACAAAAATGCAATGGTCATCCTGTTTGCTGGCATGTACGGGTTCTTTGAAGCCCCCTTCCCAGAGATGCCAACCTCTGGAGATCTAAAATCTGGAGATACTATCTCTTGCACCTACTCTAGATAGATAAGATTTCCTTACCACAGTGGAGGTGTACTTTAGGGATTTTTGGGTGGGGATGTGCTACTGGGGCCCTGGAACCCTTAGTCTATATCAGAGCTAGTTCAGCTGAATTTTGCTACCCTACACTAAACTAAATTCCCCAAATTCCCCCCTATCCTAGAGTAGCTGTTTTCCAGAAACTACTGAGGCCAGTAAAACAGTCCAGCCAGTGGCACATACTTAGACAAGACAAGACAATATACTTTATATGGGGTCTTATACCGGCTGGGGCATTTAAAATTGCAATGTTCTATGTTATGTCTTCTACGTATGGCAGTCAATAGCTATTGACTCAGAGACCATGAGGGCAACTAGTGGTCTATTATCAATGCTGCATTCTGATTGGTTGAGCTACTACTAGGCTATATGTTATAGCCCACTAGTAATGAAAAGCGCTGGCGTTGAAAACCAAAACAATGGCGGCCGAATCGCATTTTGCTAGCTAAAGTTGTTTTGTTCCGATATTTTGGACCAACTAGTTGGATTTTACTGATAATTATTATAATTCTTCTCCTGAAAATTATAATCAAAATTCTCTATTTTTTAGTAACAAAGCTTATGACAACTGTGGTGGGTTTAACTGGGTTGAAGTTAGCACCAAGAAGTCTTTCTAGTAACAAGAGCTGGGCATCTGGTGATGAAATGGCTAAAGAAGCTTCTGAAAGTGATGATTATTTTGGAGGTATGTGGCTGAAAGTAAAGTAATCAGTATTTTGTACAAAAACAATCATACTATGGTACCGTAGTATTACTCACCTGATACTTACTTTCTAGTTGCCAGTTGTACATGCACGTATATAGAAGCAACATTTTTTAGGACTGGAAAATTAAACATTTTTTCTGATCTGCCGACCTGCAGGACTTAAAGGTGCAGAAAGTTTGAAAAAAGGTGGTCCAAAAACTGACCTGTGAGGGACCACCTCCCTGAGGCATCCGGTGACTTTTGGCACTTTTGGTGGTTGTTCATTGGAATTTTGATTGCACTTAAATCTGTTGCTCATTTTGCTTTCAGCGTTTGATTTTGCCATAAGTGCAGATGCCACTGAACTTCCTAAGCAAGTCAAATACAGTCTGCGACTACCACATGAGCAGGGTGGTAGTCGAAGCCGCTGGAGGACTGAAAATACCTATCCTAACTTCCAAGCTGTGGGACCAAGAAGTGACGACGAGGGGTGAGGAAAACAGAATCACTAATTAAACTTAGTGCATGTAAAACTGTAGTTTTATTCAAATGAGACCTTAATCTGCTGTCTGTTTTAATTTGACAAAATCATCAGAAATGTTTATAATAGTCTGACAGTACAGCTGATTGGAAAAAGCTTAGAAATCTCCTCATTTTAATAATAATTATTATTGAATGACAATTGCACTCCATGATTAACTCTTCAGCCACCTGTGGCTTAGCTTACGTGCATCTTGGTTTAGTGCACTCTTGTCATGGGTTCAAATCCCATTAACCCTTTAAGTCCCAATATCCACATACAAATTCTCCAAACTGATCTCGATATATTTCCTTAAAGAATGAGTTGAGAGAATTTGATAAAAGATCAAAGCATTTTCTCTAAGGTGATCATTTTATTAATTCTCATAACCTAATCTCTTGACATTGTATGGATATTGTTAGGAGAAAATTGATGTTGGTCACTATTGTGACTTTAATAAAGGGTTAAGGACTCAAGGATTTTACCCATCATGCGCTCATGATGTATGACACATACACTCGATTCAAATGTTAAATCCGATTGTAAACTTTGCATAGAGCATTTTCTAATATTTTTTTGTCTGTTATTTTTTAGTTTTTGCTGTAGTGGGTATAGAGAACGGTTTGTGCCATTGCAGTATGCAATAGATATGGCAATCATTCTAGAGCAGTCTCACTTAACTCAACCAATACCGCTCAAACTACAGGTGAGTACAGTTCGTAGGTATCATAACTATTTTGATCAAATGAAAGGTGTGTCAAATGTTTCTACGAATAGCGAATTCTACTTGCATTTGAAGGTTCTTCATTTAGTTGCTATTGAGGGTCTCCTAAAGGGTTCTTCAATCCGTTCATCCCAACCCAAATTTTTACCCAATCCAGTAAATAATCACATTAGTTATTTTTGGCATCTCACATCTCTTGCATACTTTTGATCTTGAATCTCGCCCCCATTTGCTTTAAAATTTTTAATCCTGGCCTTCAGATAGGGTAAAGCCAGCATCCCAAAAAGGTGCATGTACTTGTAGCCTTGGAAGTCCTAGAGTCTCATTTCTATTGCAAGGCTGAGGAAGTCTCAGAATCCCAATTTTAGTTGGGGAGGGACTATTTTTAGTCTGAAATGTCAACCATCTCTTCGCCCCTTCAACCCTGCAAACACCTTTCCCCCCCAACACTGGGCAGCCAGGTGAGACTCACTCTCTCTCTCTCATTGATCAAACATATGGTTAACAATACATTTTCTTTTTCAGCAATTTCCATATCCAAAATACACTGAGAACTTCTTCATACAGACAGTCCAGGGCCTTCTTCCTCTGCTCATGACACTTGCATTCATGTACTCTGCCGTCATGGTCATAAAGGTCAGTTTTTCAATATTTATGTATTTTAAAGGGTGCTACAGAGAAGTCTGTGATGGTAATAAGACTCATGTCATTATTGCTTCTTCTTGTTATAGGAGCTTGTACATGAGAAACAGAATCGTCTGAAGGAGTCAATGAAGATGATGGGATTGGCAAACTGGATTCACTGGACTGCTTGGTTTACTAAGAACTTGTTGTTCCTTCTCGTTTCCATCATCATAGTCACTGCCTTGTTGAAGGTAAGTAAGCTGGAAGCCTTCAATAACATAACCCTTGATGTCACAAAAGTGGCCAGCATCAATTTAACAAGTAGATTCCTTGTTGCTGTGCATCTGTTAAGTAATAGGCTGATTTAGCAACAGAACGGGAAGGTCAGTTGATGACAGCATGCGCAAATCAAACAACTGGCTTGACCAATGGTAGATCGGAAAATTGAGCACGGGAAGTCATGTTTAGTCCCTTCCGCGCACTTTCCTGCCATCAATTAACGTTCCTGTTCTATTGCTAAATCAGCCTTAGTATATAGATAACAGATGACGTCAAAAAGTGGTAAAAACAAAGAAGTGGCACTCAAGCCGCAGGTGAGAGTGTCACTGATGTTTCAACCACACTTTGACGTTTTCTGTGAACTAGTCCTGAATAGACCCACGGCAACATGGAATTCGTTGACTTAACTGCACTGACCAGTCCCTCTTTGTTGTATTGCAAATTCACTACAATTTTTTTTGTTTCAAAAGGGTGCTAAGATATTTCAATTCTCAGATGGTGGCCTCCTCTTTGTATTTCTTCTCTTATACATCATAGCCAGCATTATGTTCTGTTTTGCAATAAGGTAAGGATCATGTCATGTTTTTTTAGTTAAATACTTTAAAATTATCCCCCCCTCCCCCCCACAAACTCCCTTACTGGGATTTTCCGGGATAATGCAACCAATAATTCCATAAACATGGTTAACAATCCTAACTGGTAGGAGGTGAATCGGTTGGCTGTTTTACAAGTGTGACTGAGCATTTGAAGTCCGGACTAACAAGAACAAATCCAGTTGGCAGTCAGGGCAGGATTTGGGGCCTCTGGATTTTAAGTGCAGCACTCTAACTATTTGGCCCACACTGCCTCTTCCATTGTCTTTGATTTCTGCTTGGGCTGGAAATGTTTTAGTTTCTTTGTAAGTGTTAAAATTGATTAAAAAATGGAACAAACAGTGTTTCAAGAGGGTGACACTTAACAGCTCCAAGGACTGGCTAACCTTTGGCCTTATAAGTGTCTCCAACTATTTAGGGCCACTTTAGTGACCTTATTGGACTTAAGAATGTTGGATTTTGTGGAGAGAGGAAACCCAGAGTACCCTGTAAAAAACCTCTTTCAGCAAGAAAAGAACCAGCAACAAACTCAACCCATCCCATCCCACATGACATTGGTGCCAAGACTCGAAACCTGGGCGAGTGCTCTCACCGGTGTGCCATCCCTGTGCCCCTAAATGGATTTTGGATACCTAGATCATATCTTTTTATTTCATTTTGATTTCATTCGCAGTGTATTTTTCTCGAGGCCAGTGGTTGGCATGCTGTTTGGAGCAGTCTTGTGGTACTGCTCTCTTGTTCCTTTCCAGACATTTTCTCAGCAGGAGGCTTATGAGGCTTTGTCAAGGTATAAGAATCTTTTTTTTTTATCATCTTGATCAATACCAATGTCAATATCATCATCAACATATTCAGCATTATTTGTCACAATTCTGCCATCATTATCATCGCCATCACAAACATCACCATCATCATCATTATCAATATGATCATCATCATGCAGTCATTGCCATTGCCATCATCATCATCATCATTTATACTTAATATACCAGTCGTTACTTAAGGTGCAGATAAAAGCCTTCCTTTCCAGTCTGATGGGCCTGCAATATGTGAGTTTTTCTTTTTCTTGCTAACTCTACTTGCACCGATCATAATAAGCTCCCATCTGTGTCTCCAGATCTTACGAAGTCAAAGCTATTAGAACAGGAGGCATTTGCCCTTATTGAAAAAAAAAACACCCAGGATCTGAATGGATTTAGACCCTTGCCCTCCTCTCCCCTAACTCAACATTTTGCCCTAAGTGAGAAGTTAGTGTTTATGCTGGGTCATGGGAAGGGTACATGGGGAGTTTACCAGAATCTTATACTGATCCCACTTTTGTCTTTTTTCTTTTCGTTTTTATTGCAGGGCAGAGAAGGCTGCTTCTTGTCTTTTGCCCAACACTTGCCTTGGAATTGCAACATACATCATTGCAAGGTTTGAGAGCAATGAAGTTGGTTTGACCTGGGATAAGGTATCAGCCTCACCAACTCCTGAAGATGACTTCAGCTTCTCCATGGTCTTAGGAATGTTTATTGTACAGAGCATCATATATGGAATCATCGCGTGGTATGTTATTTTGTATACTTTACGTTACAGTTCAACTTGATCATATGGCCACCCAAAGGGTAGCCTGCAAATACAGCTGTGTCTCATTACTCCTGGCCACTTAGGACTTTTCACGGGGGAGAGACATCTACACCCTAATGACAGAAATTACATAGTGGTGACATAAATCAATGTTTACATAACTAATTTGGTAATCACCCTAACCTTAGGAGATTCTGGCAGATTTTGGCTTCAGTATAGCACTTCTTTTGTTGAGGCACAAATGTCTTTCCAGCGAAACCTCCCTAGTGCTGAGAAGCGAGGAGAGACGACTGTATGCACAGGCTACCCAAAGGTTGAAAAGAGTAAAAAGTCCTTATTTTATGTCTGTAGCTCAAAATAGTCATCATCTCACTGACAAACCTGAGACTGACAGCGTACTCTTTCTGCCCCTCCTCTCAAGACCATCTGTTTATGAGTTAACCTTAAAGTATCTGACTGACTTCAGGTATGTTGAGGCAGTATTTCCCGGCAGCTATGGCATTCCCAGACCGTTTTACTTTCCATTCACCAAGAGCTATTGGTGTGGAACATCCAGTGATGATGTGATTGATGTTCGAGCAGAACAGGTAGGGAGTTTATCACTATCATTATCATGACATGACCTACGAAAAAAAAAAGGTCACAACAATCGTTTACAGCCTTTCCACTCATCATCACCATAATCATCTTCACTATCATCATCATCATCATCATTCATCATCATTTCCACCATTACTGTCGTCATCATCATTACCACCACCATGATCACGATCATCATTATCCTCATCTACCACCACCACCACCATCGTCATCATTGTTATCATCATTTACCAAAACCACCACCATCATCATTATTATCATCACCTACCACCATCATTATCATCTACCGCCACCACCACCATCATCATCATCATCAAGTACCTCCACCACCATCATCATCATCATCACATACCACCACCACCACCACCACCACCATCATCACCACCATCATCACCATCATTATCATCACCTACCACCATCACCACCACCATCATTATCATCTACCACCACCACCACCACCACAACCATCATTATCATCATCATTATCATCATTTACCACCACCACCACCATCATCACTATTATCATCACATACCACCATCACCACCACCATCATCATCATCGTTATCATCATTATTATCATCATTTACCACCACCAGCACTGTCATCATTATTATCTTCACCTACCACCATCACCACCACCACCATCATCGTTATCATCATTATTATCATCATTTACCACCACCACCACCATCATCATCGTCATCATTATCATCATCTACCACCACTACATCCATCATTTCCACCACTGTCATACCACCACCACCATCATCGTCATCATCATTATTATCATCATTTACCACCACCACCACCATCATCATCGTCATCATCATCATCATCTACCACCACCACCACCATTTCATCATCATCTACCACCACCACCATCATCATCATCATCATATCTTCCAACACCATCATCATCATCATCATCATTATTCTTTTCACCATCCGTATCATCATCAATGTTATCATCTATTGTTGCAGTAAAGTTCTTTGACTCCTCCTGTTATTGCTTGGTCTTTGTTATTTAGGAAATGAACCCAGTAGAAAGGTCAGACAACCCTGATATTGAAGATGAAACTCATGACCTGCCAGTTGGTGTTGGCATCAAAGATCTCAGGAAGGTGTTCAAGGTAAACAACCACAACAACAACAGAGTTGTGTTGGTCAAATTTTCTGGTAAGCTATCATTTGACATGGACTAACAGTAGCTGTTTGTCCTTTTTAGGGTTCAGCTGGCTCTAAAGTCGCCGTAGATGGATTGTCACTTCAAATGTTCAAAGGACAAATCACAGCTTTGCTGGGCCACAATGGTGCTGGTAAAACAACAACCATGTCAATTCTCACTGGTCTCTTTCCTCCAACTTCTGGTTCAGCTCACATAAATGGCAAGAGTATATTGACAGATATGGATGCCATCCGAGAGAGCCTGGGACTGTGTCCTCAGCATAATGTTCTATTTGACAGGCTAACAGTTAAAGAACATTTGGAATTCTTCATCAACTTGAAGGTAGTTTCATCTTGATGTATACCATATTTATTTGATCAAGTGGGGTTTTGATGTGATGTTTATTCGAGGGTGGCATTTGGTTTGAAATCACATTTCTTAATTCACTCTGATCAATGACAAAAATTACAATAAAAGAATAGAAAGAAGGTTATGTGTCGCTGAGGTAGAAGTGAATTTTAATTGTCTGGATGTTGTACTTAACCAAGTTTTTCTGGACCGAGGTTTTTCATGTAAACCTTGAAGAAAGGACGCATTGAGGCGTTTTTTCATGGGCAGTGTTTTTAATTGGTAATTTTTCTTCCAACTCAGGCATTTAATCAAGTAAATATGGTAAATTGTATAGAGTTTCTAAATGAATTCTTCCGTTTGTGACCTCTGGTGTAAATGTTGGAACTTAACTTTCTCCCTGCTTCTCCTCTCTCCAGTTCCTGATCATCTTTCTTTTGCACATCCTCTTATTTGAACTTTCTGCATACTCTAAGTTAGGCCAAATGTGTGAGATGTTAATCGTTTTGTTCTGCAACACAGCATTTGTCCTCATGAACACTTATAGCCATTTCTCTAATAGAAAGGCCCAGTTTACATAAGTTGACTTGGGCCATCTAACCGGATAAATCATTGTCCTGTGAATAAGTTTTAAGGAACCAGTTGTAATATTCAGTGGGTTGAGATTTATCCACGTTTTCATCAAGTGATCAATGGTAATGAGTGACCATCGAAGTACAGAGCTGGATTTAAATTAGTTATTTATTGTTTTTTACTCCTTAGGGCACATTTGGCGAGCAAGCTCAAATGGAAGTACTTCAGATGATCAATGATATCCAACTCACTGATAAAATGAACTGGTCCTCATCTAAACTTTCAGGTGGAATGAAGCGAAAATTGAGGTAATTCTTCAAGGCTGTTTTACATCCTTAAATTGCACGCATAAACAGTCGGAAATTTCAGGTGATTTATCATATCTAAGTTGCCCCAAATTCGACTTTGACAGAAGTTTAGTGCCACTTCGCAGCTGTTTTCAAGTTCTATCCGCCATGTTTGCTTATGAGCAACGCACATAAACTTATCATTACAAACAATAAAAATATCACTTTTTGTAAAATGAGAGACAGATCGAGTCTCTGTTGCGACAAATCAAGCAGCATTGCTTATAAACTTGAAAGAATTTGAAGTCATGAAATTATTTGAAGAAATCCCCTCCTCCCCCCATGCAATGAATGGTGCTGTCAGAATTTTCATCTCTATTAAGGACGCCTTTTTTGTATATATATTTTTTTCAGTTGTGCTATTGCTCTCATTGGAGGGTCACAAACTGTGTTCTTGGATGAGCCCACCTCTGGAATGGACCCTTATGCCAGGAGAGGAACCTGGGACTTGCTACTAAAACACAAAGCTGGAAAGACCATTATCTTGACTACCCACTTCATGTAAGCTTCACTTGCTTTTGAACGACTAATGCAGTGTCTAATGTGTATTTTTATTAGCGATAAGTTTTATTATAATGAAATTTTATGACCATTCAATGCTTGCATGCCTCACTAAGACCATGTCATGTAAAAGCCCACGTTCACCCCAGATGCACTGCTCGGCGAGGAACAGTTTTTGAAACAAGAAACCCTCTACGCTGCAGAAACAGTCGAAAAATCTATCTGTTAAAGGTGGACTTTAAAGCACATTTAAATCATTTGAAATTCTCTCGGGAGTGAGAAATTGTTCTAACAGAAAACAGGACTTTGAGATGTGTACCTTGTTCATAATTAACAAGATGTTAATTCTATTAGTCATAAACAGACTCTCCATTTAAGACAATAACAGCCTTTAGACTTGCTAGTGTGTATTTCTTTCTTGTTATTTGCCACTTTAGAACCAAAAAGGAAAGTGTGTCAAGTTAACTTTCGCAAAGTCTTCTGGGAAAGGGAAAATTAGCCAATAGCTGACTGGCGCGTCCCCAGTAACGATCCCTGAAAAAAGTTGCTGTACTCATCTAGGCTCCAATTCCTTTATTTTTTCTGAGGAGGCGAAGGTAGTAGTGCTATCATAAAAGAGCATTGTGGGTAATTATTATCAATGTGACTTTATTACTGACACATTTTAAGGGATGAAGCAGATTTTCTTGGTGACCGGATTGCTATCATGGCTGACGGACAGCTGAGATGCTGTGGAAGTTCCTTGTTCTTAAAGAGCAGGTACGAGTTGGGGATTCTTATGACTCACCGTATTTTTCTTCTAGCCTAAGGCCCTGTTCACAGTAATGTGTTTACGTGTCATAGAAACCGTATTGGTCACTAGCGTTTTTGATGCGTTTTCGACTGCCATACTAACTTGTTCAAAACCGATAGCCCCAATTGAAATATTGTCTCGTCTTGTATTGACGGAAGAAATCTCAAGGTAAAATTGATTTTGGCTTTTCGAAACATTGCAATTTTGAATTTTGGCATTTACAATAATATTGGAATTTTGAATTTTCGCTTTTCCAAAGATTGAAATTCTGAATTTTGACTTTTCCAAACATTGGAATTCTGGTTTTGGGGTTTTCCAAACATTGGAATTCTAAATTTTGGCTTTTCCAAACATTGGAATTCTGAATTTTGGTTTTTCCAAACATTGGAATTCTGAACTTTGGCTTTTCCAAACATTGGAAGTCTGAATTTTTGGCTTTTCCAAACATTGGAATTCTAAATTTTGGCTTTTCCAAAGAATGGAATAACGCTTACTTATTAGATATGATATTTATTGCACACATACTCAACAGATATGGGACTTATTTCACCCTCACTCATCAGATATGGAATTTATTTCTCTTTTATAAAATATGTAACTTATTTCACACTTACTTATCAGACATGGAATTTATTTCGCATTTGCACGTAGGTATGGTGTTGGATACCACTTGACGCTAGTAAAGAAGGAGGAATGTAATCAAAATTCAGTGACAAGTTTGATCGTCAATCACGTGCCAGACGCTCAGCTGCTCAGTAGCGTGGGTGCTGAAATGGAGTTTGTCCTGAGCAGTGAGCATTCCAATGGCTTCGAGACTCTCTTCCAGGAAATAGAAAGTAAGTTGCAGTCTCGAAAAAGTCATTTATTAGAGACCTTAAGATTCTAAGACGAGAAAGACTACGAGTACGAGATTTTCTCAATACTAGGTAGTGCTCGCGCGTGAGGTAGCGTCATTTTGGCGGGAAAAAGTGGTAGCGGTCGTTATTCTATTACGAGTTTTAAGAAGAGCGAGAACAAGTTATCAAATGTTAGACGTTTTAGCATTTTGCAATCGGGAAGGTCTTAACCTCCTTCAATGACGATAACAGTGCTAACTTTTCTGGTGAAAAAAAGAACAATGAAAAATTCCGGGACTTCTAGTTTTTGACAATACGCGAAAAAACTTTAAATCAAATCTCGTGCTCGTAGTCGTTCTCGTCGTGGAATCTAGTTTTCGACAATACGCGAAAAAACTTTGAATCAAATCTCGTACTCGTAGTCGTTCTCGTCGTGGAATCTAAAGGTCTCTATTTATTAAGAGACCTCCGTTAGATTCTAAGACGAGGAGGACTAAGAGAACGAGATTTTCTCAATACATGTACTATTAATAGTGCGCACGCGTGAACCCGCGTCATTTTAGCGGGAAAAAGCGATAACCATCGGCAGTCTATTACGGGTTTTAATGAGAATGTCGTAGTGACGGAAACAGGTTATCAACGGAGGAAGCTTAAACTACTTTAATAACAAAAAAAGGCAAAATGAAGCCTTCCGGATTGTCTATTTTTTGAGAATATGCGAAAAAACGTTTAGTCTAATCTCGTGACCGAATCTAAAAGTCTCCAATACACTCTTTTTTTTTGTAAGAACATATTTTATAAGAATATCGAGGCTGAAATTTGCGACATTTTAAGAATATTGTAAGAATAAAGCCGAGGCTGAGATTTTGAAAAGGATAGATATAATTTTGTGTGTTGAAACATCTGTAAATACAATACAATTTTATGTTTTTAACTTAACCGTAGAAAAATTATTCCTTTCTCTGAACGGCGAAACTAGCCAACAAAACGAAAAAACCTGGACTAGCTATAGCAAATGACAGTTCGATGAACGGTACATGTAATACATATGAACAGTATTCAGCACAGATCTAGGGTACTCCCATACATTACCTATACGGGTATGTGCCGCCCAAAGGGGTCGTGATTTTGAAGCTCCTGATTTAGAACGGGGTATCCATTTCAGACGCGTTTTCTAGAACGGGGTATAATATTTCAAACGCACAAAAACTCCACTTTTGTAAGCAGCCATTTGAAATTATTCAAGGACAGATTGCTTTTAAAAATACTGTTCAATGCGTTAACAAGCAAACTGTTGTACTCTTCAGTTGCACCCTAGAACGGAGTATAAAAAATTGGCCCATTTCTAGAACGGGGTATCAGTTTTAGGTCGAATTCTAGAACAAGGTATAAAAAATTGGCCCATTTCTAAAACGGGGTATCAATTTTAGGGGAATTCTTTTTTAGAAGGGGGTGCCAATTTGGAGTCCCGGGCGGCACATACCCACCCAAAAAATACCCAAGTGCCCCCGGGAGATCTAGATACCAAACACTTGTAATTGATACCCCAATAAATTCTAAAACGGAAATGTCATAAGCTATATATAATTTAAGAATAATACAAGAATATTTTCAGCCTAAAATCGGCAGAAAAATAAGAATATTCAGTCTGGGCCGGAAAAACAACAGTCTTATATATCGATGAGAACCAGAACTGTGAATGTGAATTGTGTTTCACTATATTGTATATTACTTGCAAAATAAAAGAAAAGAAAAATGAAATTCCTAGCTTTAAAATAGCATTCAGAACTGACCAACCACAAGAGATCCTTGCAAGAGCTCTTACAAGGGTTGTTCTTGTTGCATCATTTTACCCTCCAGATAAGATGGAAGAATATGGAATTGCTAGCTTTGGAGTGTCGGTTACAACATTGGAAGAAGTCTTTATGAAGGTCGGAGAAGGGGCCGAGAAAACTGTGGATGATTTGTAAGTGACGCTGGTTGACTTCCTACCACTTCTTTTTGGATGGTTTTCTTTTACTTGAAACAACGAACTAAAAAGAAAATTTGCGCAACAGGAAGGGAGAGGGAAGAAGACGCAAACCTTGTGTGTCAAGCGTGACAAAAATTTTGTTTGAAAAAAACTTTCCGTCAATTTTCCCCTTCCTTTAAACACACCATTTTTTAAAAGACCAGAAATCGTTAATTTTAAGTAAAGATCACGACAAAACACGCAAGTAATAGCCCTGTCATGTTTGTCACACACAGACGTTTTGCCACTGTTAAACTCATTGGTTAACTATTGTATTTCTAGAGCCCATGATCACAATATCGCAGGCCAAGAAGCTCAACAAATTGTAAAGATTGCTGAAGTTGAAGATCCTAAGGGAGGAGGTAGAGTATTCGGCGTGTTTTCGTCCCCAGGGCTTTGCCCCATTGTACAAAAGGTGGGGGACGGAAGCTTTGCTAGAATTAGTTGCAAGTGGTTTTACCATCGCTTACAGTGTTTCTAGAGACTGCATATGTAATCTTTAGAATTTTTTTTAATCCTCTTTTTTGGACCCCTTTCATACTAAAGGCAAACACATACGTGGCGTTAATGACATTCTGATAGTTAAGCCATCGAGTGATGGTTTATGATTAACCGGTATTATTTTCTTTTCTTTCTGCTAGGGCTACAAACAGGCTTTAGTTTGAAATGGCAGCAGTACAAAGCTATGTTTTTGAAAAGGTTCCTCAATTCCAAGCGTGATAAGAAGGCCATCATTACTCAACTCGTTCTTCCTCTTCTTATGGTCTTGTTTGGTTTGTTACTTATCACATCAATTCCCACTCGAACGAACGATCCGCCACGTGTTCTGAAGCTCTCTAATTTGAGCGTTGATGACGTTTTCACCAAAGCATTCTTTGCAGACTACAGGAACGTAAGCTCTGATGTAAAGCAAGGAACCTTGAAGGTACCCAATGTAGCTCTGGGCAGTATTTATTTTTTATTTTTTTAGTTTATTTGTTTAGTCACTTTCATTACATGACATTAAACAAACTGAACAAAAGTTGTTAATTAAATTGTGAGCAAATATGAGAAGGAAGCCTTTAGCTAGATTACTAATTACATGCTTTAGTACAGAGTATACAGAAAACATAAAGCCTTAGCGTCAGAACGACTATCAATGCGATAGTTTTTCAGATTAAAAAACATATGTTAAAAAAGGAAGAAGGGCTGTCAGTGAAATAGGCAACAAATTCCTCTTTTTTGTTGTTCAGTTTCCTTACTCTTGTTTTTTCTCAACGCTTTGCTACTCATCTTCTCCATTATTAGAAAAATCTCAACTGGAATCTGCTTGATTTGACAAGGAATTCGTTCGTCTGATGAAAATGTCAAAGAGAGTATCGGCAGCGCGGTTTCACGCACCTGACTCTCCGATGCCCGACACCTAGTAATACTTAAAACGTTCTTATCACTTTATCTTTCTGAAAACGTTTCCAGACTGGAAAACAAAGGCTCATATATAGGGCCATCAACCACGAAACAATTCACGCGAAGTCCTAACAAGAGATATTAGGCTGATTTAGCAACAGGACGGGAACGTCAGTTGACGACGGGAAAGCGCGCGGAAAGGACTAAACACGACTTCCGGTGCCCAATTTGCCGCTCTGCCATTGGTCAAGCCACCTGTTTAATTTGCGCGCGCCGTCGTCAACTGACGTTCCCGGTCTGTTGCTAAATCAACCTATTGACACCCTCTTCATGACAAATTCAGGAAAAAAAAACGAAAATTACGGTTGCCCTTGTTTACGACTAACGGTTAAAAAATTTTCCATTTTACGCCTAACGACTAAAATATTTGACAATGCTGTCCACTCAGAGAGTTCATTTTGGATGTCACCGGCAGGGGGCGATGAGAAGTTTGTGTCTTTGCAGGCTAGTTTTAAAAGTGAACCTAAAAATAAAAGTTTGTTTTATTTCGCAGAACGCTAGCAACTACCTCAAGAGTGTTAAGGTAGACGTACTGGACATCACGTCGAAAGTGTATAACATCCGTGATGGTAACCAAGGCAACAATATAACAGTCAGAAACGTGTTCACCCAATATGATAATGAATCTAAAGCATGCTGCAACTATGAGTTCTACGTGCTCAATTCCAACTGCAAGTCTCTTGTGAGTAGCTATCAACACACAAAATCTCCTTACTGGCCCTATAAGATTCTCATAGCGTAAGTTGGAAGAAATAGGGAGCTTAAGCAACGAAGACGGCGACGGCAACGGCAACGAGAACGGCAAATAAGCACTAGTTTTAGATTGACACAACAACAACGTTGCACGTGTTGTTTGTACATTTTTTTCCGATACTGCACGACTATGACGTGAAACGTCCTAGTTTTACGTTTTATGGAGGACGTGAACAAAATTTTCACTTTCTTTTTCTAAACTTAGATACAGTCCTTCAGAATCAACTACAGAAAAATTCCCCAACACTTGACAATTTTATATGAAATGGAGAAATAGTAATAAAGTTTGAAACGCGCGAATTCACTTTTTGAGTGACGTTCTCGTCGTAATTGTTTAAGCTCCCTACTTTCGACTTGAACAAAACCTAAATCTTCCTTGCGAAAAATCAAGAGTTCATTCACTGTAATGTAAAATTTGCATGTGTCCATTTTTTCACGAGTTGCACATGATTAATTTCATCTCATTTGTACTTCTTAGTTCATCAGTCAGGATCTTAAGCCAGATCAATGTTCAGATTTTAACTTCGGCTACAAGGATTGCCCCAAATGCATTCTTGCCAACTTGTAAGTATTATTTATTATTATTCCTTTTCGTAAGGGAATAGATCACGTGTAGATCCATTCCAAGTATGTAATAGGAACGTTTGGCTCTTTTCTGAAAATATAGAAATCCAAGTTGGTGGCCATTTTGGCTTCATGACGTAACTCTTGTGCTGTTTGAAGTCATTACGCCCCCTGGCCTTAAGATATTCTTGAAGTTGTAACGTCTGGGGTGGTGAAGGGGGTTGAAGGCAAACCACACTCCACCTTCAACCCATAGCCATGGAAGAATTTACACCCTACCCAGTGGCGGATCAAGAAGAGGCCCGCCCCCCTTTATTTTTAGACCAAACTGAGGCCCGAGACCGCCCCCCTCGCCCCCCCCTTATCTGAAGGTCTGCAACCCAATCCCCAACCAACAGTCCTAGCAGACTTTCCACCCTACCCCACTTGCACTTTTTATGCCCTTTTTATTTGAGTGTCAACAAACAGTCTAATTGGGGACACCAGACGTCCTACTGGGGACGGGACCCATTTTACGTCATCCGAACCACTCCCAACCGTTTAAGTCAGTTAGTTTAAAACCCTTTCGGGAATCGAACCCGCGACCTCCCGCTCTGCAGTCAAGCTCTGAACCGACTGAGCTAATCCTGCCGCGGTCAACAACAAATTTTTCCTTACCCCCTTAAAGTCCTAGAAAACTTTCCACCTTTCAGTGAACTGAATAGGAAAAATTGACGACGAAATTGACAACTTGCTCAGCAGTTGGGTGCCCTGGTACTAACCTGAAAGATCTCAACACTTACTTCTCTGAATATGTCCTCGAAGAAAGCAACGCCTCAGACTACTTCAACGTGTATGTTGCCGGATTCTCATTAGCACCCCAGATTCCGCCTATGTCTGCCAACATGTCGAACATGTCGCTGCCTTCGAACATGACGAACAACAAGGGAATGATTCCAGCCGAGAAGAGGCCAGACACAGAAACCACACTCTGGTACAGTAACGAGGTAAAGTCAGTGTTTTTCTTTGAGAATGGTAGTTCTTCCTCCTAAGATATCGATATGTGAATTTTGTACTTAAACTTTCGTTTAAGTTTACTTGAAAGACTTCACGCCCGCCCAGCAACTGTGCAATAGATAGCGTAAACTGACTGATCCCACAGTAGGCTCGATTTCCAGCCGCTGTTCGGGATATGAGCCTGCGCTCCTCTCCTTCTGGAGGAGGAATAAAAGCGAAATAAATCAGGTCTATACCCTAATGGCAATGTGATAATGGTTTGATGTTGTTTTATCGCAGGGATATCACACCATAGCAGAAGCATTAAGTGCTATGAGTAACATTCTACTGACAGATGCAATGGGTGACGACTCATATAGTATTGAGGCTACTAACTACCCTCTACCAAACACCATTCAAAACAAGGTTAGTTCTCAAGCACACTTCTTAGTTGACATAAGAACCCTTTTAGATTTAATCCGACGACGACTATGAGAACGAAATTTTCTCAATACTAAGTAGTGCGCACGCTTAAACCCGCGTCATTTTGGCGGGAAAACGCGACAGTCGGGAGAGGACTTGACCTCTTTCAATAAAAATAAAAAAGAATTTTACATCGCAAGCGCTATTATCGCACGAAGCGATTGCCATGACTGAACCAACTTAAGGTTTCCGCCGTACCGTTAAGAGAGATTTCGCTGTACTTGTCTTTCATAATTTGAAGCGATATTTCGGAAATTGTTTTGCTGAAAGATTCTTTATTTCACTCTGTTTTTTTCTCTCTAGGCTGATAATGTCACAAGTGATTTTTCTGCTCTTCTGCTTGCCATCTTCCTTGCACTAGGTATGGCCTTCATGTCTGCCAGTTTCGTCACATTCATTGTACAGGAGAGAGTTTCCAAGGTAAAACCATATAACTGCGAAATGACTAACAATGCTCAGGTTTAACACATGAGTTTTTTTGTGCCTTGCAGTTCGAAATGAGTTGTAAAGATTCTCGCTTTCCAGTCGCTCTCCATTTCACTTCACACGATCGCTGCGCAGAGTGCAAATCTTTTTTTGTTCCGCAGTGTATTTTTCGACCTGCTCCCGTTTGGCTTGTATGAGACATAAATAATCCATGAGGCTGAAGTTTTCAAAAATTCTCGACTCGGTCAGTTCGGAAAACTTTGAAAACACAAGTGCAACTAATTCGTAATTGTCCTCATGTCATCACCAGTGCATCATTTAAAGGAATCACACGGTAATCGTACCCTCTCTTGTTTACCAAAAATGCGCTCAATTTAGAAAAATGCCCTCTATCTCAACCCATCAGTGTTGGGTAATTTCCCATTCCAGAAACTATAAGGGAAACTGGTACAAGCTTTCGGCGCAACGATTTCTGGGATCATTTGGGTGGATAAGCATTGGTTATGATTGGTTAATGGTTGCCTTGAATACCATCGACCAATCATAACTAACGCTTGTTC